CAGATTTGAGATTCAATTCGTCAGATTTGAATTAGATCTGGATTTTAACAGATCTGTCAGATTCAGATTGGATTCAAATTAGGGTGTTCAGGATAGGTTGGTATGATAGCTCAAAAATCACATATGATTTAAGATTTTTATCGTGAAAAAATCGCAGCTATAATTCTAGCTGAAATTTTATAATTTTTAGTAAATTAACCAAATTTATTATAACAAAATAAATGTAAAATATAAAATATAACAATTAACTATTCAAAAAAATATTTTATTTATTAATAATCAATATTTTCATTTAGATTAATGTAAAAAAATTAAGCATTTGAATGCTTTCTTTTTAAATGCTATCCTTCTATCTAACAAAATTGATACTAGTAACTATATATATATTAATGCTAATGCACTAAGTTCTGATAATAAATATCTTTTACTATGCTAATATACATTTAAGTCTACAAATTCCTCATCTAATTCATTGAAACCACAATAAATAGTCCATTCTTAAATCAAATTATCAGTAGAAGAATGAAACTCTTTAATAATGCTATAATTTATTATATTAATATTTGCTATATTAGATTGAATAAATCTTAGATTAAAGTATTGTATTGCTTTAAATAATGATAAAACTGAATGGTGAGAGATGTTTTTCATATTTTTCATAAGCTAACCCAAAAGTCTAAGAAAATAATGTAATAAATGCTTTACTGTTACAATTTCTTTCAATAAAAATATGTTTTATTTCATTTGATATTAGAGGAGTCCTTTTTTCTGATAAAATAAAAGTTTGAAGACAAACTATTCTTGAATAAACAAATAGAACTATTGCTTTATTTTAGATTTTAAAGAATTCTAAATCATTAACCAACCTAATTAAAAATTTTTTAAATAATTAATAAAGTTATTAATTTAATTAAAATTATTAAAAACTTTTTTACTTATTACAATTATATGTAATAAAACATATAAAAATTTTAACATATAAAACATAATTTTAGTTTTGACAAAAGTTATAAAGGTATCAGATAGCCTTTGAATCATAGTTGAGATTATATTCTTATATTCTGCATTAATAAATGTAATTATATGAGAATATAAAGGTTTAATCCAATACAAAAAAGAAAACCATGAATTCTATCTTGTTTTTACAGGTAATAGTGCTAAAGTAGGGGATTCAATATTATTTTGTAATAAATATTCTTTCTAACGAATTTTTCTTTGTGAATTATAAATAAATATTGTTTTAAAATTTGCAACTAATTTATCAACTAATTCAAACTGTTTAAAATCAATCTATGTCTCTCTAATTAAATTAAGAATATATGCTAAATAACAATTTTATTTCATGTTTGGTAAAAAAGGAGTTAAATGAGAATATGCTAATTTCATATAAGAGGCATTATCTATTATAAAAAAAAAAATAATATTTTGATAAGGAATTTTATAAAAATAAAGTGTATTCATTACAAATTGAGAAATAGAAGCAGCATCTACATTATCTAAAAATTCAGTTTTAGCTAATTTGATTTGATTACCAAAACTAAACAAAATATTGAATGTATGTCGACCACAATAGTCTGTTATTTCATTAATTATTAAATAAATAAGTTTGTCAATAATTTTATTTTTGAATTTTTGAATTTCTAAATCATATGATAATAGAAGAAACTTTTTATGAAGTTGATTTGTTTCAGTAATTAAACTTCCTATAAATAAATTATTATTAATAATAAAAATATTAAAAAATTAAAATATAAATATAATTTCATACTATTTTTACAATGCTTTAATAAAAAAGGTTTTAATTTTTCAATTTTTTCTAAAGGAATATCCGCAAGAGAAAAGGCTTTAACAACTTCTATATTTAATTTTTCTTTTTCATTTAATGTATTATCAAATAATGGCAAAGTTCTTTGAATTAATAAAGGAGAATCATTTCTATAATTTTTGTTATTTAGATGTTTTATTATAATTAAATGTTTATCTACAGAATCCTTTCTTTTATGGTCAACTTCTATATTGCAAAATTAACACCATAATAAACTGCCTTATAAAATATAATTCTCTCGATATTCTACTCTTTATGCCAAACATATGTGAGGAACTACTATTTTTTTACGTGAAAGTTAGAAGTTGATTTAACGAAAAAAATTTAGATTATCTAATCAAATTTAAATGATATGAAAATTACAAAATTATACTAAAAATCATGATTATGCCAAAATCATAAAAAAAGGTCAAAATTGTTAACAAATCACAATCAACAAATCCTGGACACCCTAAATTCAGATTCTGAAAAATGAAAATCAGATTTTATTCAAATCTGATCTGATCTAATTTTGCGAAACACTAGCTATTAAAGTTAGTTTTGAATTACTTTATAGTAATATAAAAGGGTAATTGGTATCATTGTAGAGCTGTTAAAAGATAGAGTTAGTGTAGATAATTCTCCTGATAGTAAGAGAGCTAGGATCAAAAAAATTATCAAAAAGTAATATGTATTGCAGACCACATTTTGAACATTTGTATTTATTTTTTATATGTAATAATAAAAATTTTTTCTTGGCAATTTTCCATGATAATCTATCATACAAATTTAAAAATAGCATGTATATATAGTAACAGAAAGATATGAAAGAAAAACATAAGTTCTATTATCATTTCAGTAACTGCCTAGGTGAATTTTAAGGTGGATCACATACTGAATTATCACATATATTTGTTTTTTTCAAATTACGTGAGTGGTTTAGATATCATACGAATTAAAATGTCGCTGATTTATACTTGGTAATATGTCATATATTTACGTACTTTCAAATACTATAATAAGACGTCACCTCTATATTTCTTTATAGTCATATGCGTAGTAATACGTTACCAGTATTTACAATCATTATTTTATAATAAATCCAGTCAAGAGAATTATTTTGTATTGCTATATTGATGAACTTTTCCCAGCGCTAAGCTGAAAGAAGTTCTGGTATATTCTATTTCACTCATTACACAGTTCTAAATTACTAATAAAAAATGCATCTCTGATTTATATGCTGATCGTAAAACAGAACGTCGTTAAAAAGAGAATCAAAAATGAAAATAAAGCTTATTAGAATTTATAATATACAGATTCTTAAATAAACAGTATATTTTTATTATTCTACTGATATTAGTGTATTTAAATTACATATACAGATTAATCACATATTAATCCATTTTTTGAATAGAAATTAGTTATACATGTATGATTCGTCATCTACAAACCTCAATCCATTTCATTTTATATTCCTTTTTTATGATTACAATTGAAATAGGGGTTGTGAACTCAAACAAAGATGCATCACATGCGATCTTCTATAAGAAATCTTAAAAATAAATGGAAAATTTTGAGACATAGTATTGCTCCATTAATGTTACATTAAGTTGTCATAAAATTGTAATTCTTCAGATTTTCTTTTAAACACTATTATTACAATTCAGAGGAGAGACATTTGTTATTATTAGACAGGATCTAAGTAATTATTATTGCTTTAGCTGAAAAATATAATCATGAAAAATGTAATTATAATTACATATAATAAAGCAACATAATTTTATTAAATCAGGTTAAATTCTTATTTTCACACATAGTGACATACAGTATAAAATAAACCTTTTTCTTAACGCATTCATGCAAGAGAATTGTATATTAAAAAAAATCAATTGTTAATATCTAAAAAACTTGATCCACCAATAATCTCTTAATAAAAATACTATGTATCAATTTATCTAATCATGTCCAATTTGTCATTGCTCAACTCTTCTGGAAGTATAACATTTTTAGTCTTAATCGCTATTTTTTATTCGTTAATCTAGTGATATTTGTGAGGATTGTCACCATGTATGGGAATCTAAAACAAAAGATCTCTAATAAACTTTCTATATATATCACTAGAATCGTTAATGATCTTGATAATACACTGAAAATCGAAAATATCTTCAGTAAATTTATCATGAAAATTAATACTAAAATCACTAATGAACTTTTTACACGCCTTTCTGAAGTTAATTCTACTTTCACTGCAGAGCTTGTGAGAAATAACAATGAACTTAATAAGAAATTTACCAAAGAAATCGCTAAAATTAATTTTTGTAATGCTGGCTATGTTTCTGAGCATAGAAAATTTTATCTATAGTTAATAATGTGATCACAAGACTTGATGATATCGAAGGAGCCTGCCGTAATGATTTTGGTAACATTTTATCTGAATTCACTTTGATCAAGACCTCTATTGAAGCTCTCTGAAATGAAATGATCTAATGTTATGCAATTGCTCAAAGGCTTTAGGTCGATTTTGATTAACTGAGTGTGGCCAATCATTCCTCTAGTAGTAAAAGTTCTTCTAGTTGATTATCTGATTCAGCTCTTGAAGAAAATAAGAGCCATTTTAAGCAAGTTTTAATTCGAACAAAGAAGTGGAAAATACTATGGATTATGCATTTAAAACTGTTAAACGTGAAATTTGTGAACTTACTGGGTATAAGATTGGAAAGAGTACTGTGAAAAGTTTTTATTATGGTCAAGAGGATCCAAAATTTAATATAGTAATGTTAATTATTAGTTGGGTAGATAATAAAGAAATTATTAATAGTTTAGCAGAGTAGTGGGAAAGGAACTTCCAATATATGAGTTAGGGCTCGGCAGGCTTATCAAGCAGGCATGTTCTTTTACGCCTTTCCTCCCTTGAAACAACCTGCTACTCTATTGTTTTTTACTTTCATTTTTACTTAGCCGGCCGGCTCTTTCTCATATATTATTTTATGAAAAAAAATATAATAAAGATTTCACTTTTAATTTTTTAAATGTGTGCGCGTGTTTTTAATTGTTTTATTTTCAAATATAAATTTTCTATTTGCTATCAATAACTTGATGCTTAAGATCCTTGATGATGTAACAGAATATCATATCATCGACAATCAAATAACATAAACCGCACGCGTCTATTTTCGCTTTAACGAAACTAAAAACAATGGATCTTTATGATGGTTATGATGGTAAGCTTGCTAGTCATTAGATCGATAGCAGTGTTTTATTTATGGACCTCTAATCCATTTTACTTGCTTTTCAGCTGTTTTAAATTATTTTAAAAGCTATGACAGTGAAACGTGGACTTATCAACATTTTTTAAACGAATTAAGAGAAACGATCATTTCTTCTCCTCCCTATACTGATGACTGGACCGGCTTGGACGGTGCATGGTGTAACAGATTTAAAAAATTTTCTAATAAGGTATATGTATGTGGGCGGAATCCTTTAGTTTCTCTTGAAGTAAAAAGGGCGCTTCCAAGTCGTAATTATAGGATATAGTACGATTTAGGAGGTTTGGCGAAATTTTCGTTGCCCAAGTGATGAGTATGATGCGCTTATGGGTCGTAATTATAGAATATAGTACGATCCAGAGGTTTTGGCGAAATTTTCGTTGCCCCTCATTGCGATTCATGCGATTCATATATTCATCAGCTTTTTGTATTTTTTCAGCACTTTAATATTTTCTTTTGTTATTCCTTTTTTTTTAACAGGGTATTAATAATCGTCAGAATATACAATCATTTTTTCAAGACATCATTCTTGAACGTGAAAAAGTTAACATTCTAACATTAACATTTTACAAGGATTATCCATAAAAAGTAATTTTTTATTGATTATATTCCTTAACCTGCCAAAAAATAGAGAAATGCCGGGAAAAATTATGTAATAGAAGGCGTTAGAGTCCTCAATGAGGCAAGGTCTCGCAGTTCAGATGAAGTTATCTCCGCTATTAACAAATGATATCCTGATGATCAAACCAGTGGAGACTCACACAAACGTCAATGTCGCCGAACAGAAAACGGGCCATCGCAAACTCCAGAAGACAAGGTAGTTGTATCCTCCGTGGTTTTAATATATATCCCGCAACAAAATGTCTTCTCATTTTTCACATTTGTGCACAGGTTTCAGAGGTTACAGAGGTCACAGATGACGAAGAATGGGAGTTTGACACACCACAGCCAAGTTGGCTAAAAAAATTGATAGAGGAACGTCGTCTGTTAATTTCAAAAGATGATCCAATAACTACGTATAAATCATCTTTAAAGTAAATGTTGGGCTGGTTCCATTTTTCTTGATGTTAGTAGGTTCTAACGAAGTTCTCTCCTCAGATCAATCTGGTGGAAGATTGTAGTATGTTAAGATTTTCTTTTCAGTAGGTTTTTCAAAAGTAAAGTTCGCCTATTAATGAAAATTTGTTAGTCCCAATAACTCAATTATTGATTTTATGGTTACAGCAAGGTACACGCATGCAATTTTAGACATGGAGAGATGTCTTTTAAAATCTGGGAATAAAGGTAATCACGTAGTTGGTGATAAATCATATTGTAATACTTTTTAAAAATAGATACGAATGGATTAATGCGCATGTCAGGTAATTTTTTTTGGATTTAATTTATGTTTGTTTTCCGAAATACAACACTACCACCGACAGTAATTATTATATAAAATTAAAAAGTTTTTGAAATCTTCCTCCCTGATTTATTTCATGTTTTAACGCTTCTTTAATCTTTTACCTTTAGATATTGAAATAATTTAAGATCATTAATGATTCGATTTAACAGTTGATGTAATCATTAAATTGGTTATTATTACCGGTCTCACTTTTAAATGATGAAGAAAAGAGTGAGTTACTGTTTATAAAAACTCTAATGAAGTAAAATAAATTCACAACTGACGGTAAACTTGAACTAGTCTTTTATTACTTTAACTAATCTTTTTTTTTTGTTCTTCCTAACCCATTTAGGTGAAGGGACATCAAAAGTAACTAACCTGCTGTTATTAACTAATGGTCTTTTCGAACTAAATCAATTCTTACTAGATTGGAAAAATTAGTGACAAGACCCAAAAAAAAGGCTAACTTTTTTAAATTGTTCCAGCGGACATGCAAGAAATTCTTGACAATATTAAATATTAAATATGCAAAAGCTAAAGGTCAAGCAGCAAAAAGAACTCGATTGCTATTTGAACCGAAAATGGTAGGAACTATCGGTGCACAAGAAAGATATCAATCATAGGTAGAGATGATTTTTGGTCAAATATAGTGGTCCTGACGGGACCAGAATTGTTCGAGATTATTATATTATCCAGGAAAGTAACAATGTACATCCAAGAATTGATGAATTTGATGGTGATTATCCACTTTTAAAAAGAAAAAAAGTTGGGTTGTCGCCAATTTCCGTGATTTTCGCGATTGACCGAATCGAAAGTTTTTTTACGAGATATAAATAGCCAATTAATCAATACGGAACTTTCCTACATATGATATTAAATTAAAATATTTTAAAATCTTAAATATGTCATTTTCCATTCTTGATCATAAATTCCAAAATAATATCCTAACCTAATAGCCTTGAATTGCTTACGTATATTATGAAAAACTCATATTTTGAAAAGGCTTCCCTTAAAGCAACGTGAACTAGGCGTTACTTTATCCTTTAACCCTAATGTAAATAAGATCTCTAATATGAGAATTCTTATATTCACGATCGGTTCATATAAAATCACGTGTCAGAACTTTGATTTACTCAACGATTTACCGAGAATATATTTTTTTAAGACGCGATTTTAACTAAAATGCTTGCAATAACAATAGTAAGACAGTAAGTAAGTTAATATTTTATGAGAATTTTTTTATAAAGGAGAATTAATATTTTGATTTTTCAGCGGAGAAAGTATTGGAAATATTCAACGTCGCTGGCAAGGACATACTGATAGTCCATTAACGAATTTTGGAGCACAGGTATAATATCAAATTAAATTCGTTTCCTATTAATAATCAAACCAAAACAATTATCGATTTGATTTTAATTGATTTAATTAATGATAAAAGCAAGCAGAGCAGGCGGGAGAAGCATTGAAACATGAAAAGGTAATAATAAATCATAATAATATATTCGCTTCTTCAACAACAAAGGGTTCACCATTTTCTTTTTTTCTCAACATCTTACTTCTCTTAAATTATTATTATAGTTTACATTTGCAATTTCAAGTGACTTAACTAGAACAATGACCACAGCAAAATTAATTCTCTCACGAAATATTTATTTCGTCACAAATCCAATGGAATTATGTACGGATTTTCGGTTAAGGGAACAACATTTCGGTAATTTTGAAGACCAATCACTTAACATACCTGTGAAATATGCCATCACCCCTCCTGATCCTCGGTTAATTAAATTTGTCGGAGAAGGAGCAGAATCATTACAAGATGTATTCAATAGAGCAACGACATTCATATCAGATTTACTAACCCATTATCAACAACGACGACAACAAATCACTTGTCAACAAGAATATCCACACATTTTAATCGTGTCACATTCGATTTTCATTAATGAATTTTTAAATGCTTTGTTAACACATAAAACATTGTTACGTCAGCAACAACCGTGGCAATTTGTTCCTTTACATAACACTTCTATATTTACATTAAGAGTTCATCCATGTGATGATCACCAACAAGAACCTTTACGAATTGATGTCATTAGAAATAATTATGTTGAACATCTTAATGGATTAATTAGACAGCAAGGTGGTATTGGTAGTGCCGTTTATGATATTAAACAAAAGAAGATATCTTCTTTTTTTCAAAAGAAACAACAAAATTCAAGAATTGTTACCAAAAGAGAAATCATGGAAGATCCTATGGATGAAGATTAACTTTGGTTAAAATCATATCATTCTTTGAATCATCATCTTTAGAATCACTGAGTGAAAAGAATTTTTACGTATAACGGACAATTAAAGTTTTATTATAATAAAATATTTTGACCCGGATATTATAATAATTTCTATGTGTTTTGATTTTGCTTTTTAGTTTTTTTCTTCTTAACTATTTTCTGAGGCTCAGGGTAAGCTTGACTAATTAAGTTTTGAAGTTCAGGATCATTCTTCCATTTTTCCCTAACTGGTTCTAATAAATTATTAATCGATTCCGTAACCGAGGCTTTCAAATCACCAGGATGAATCTTCTTATCGCGAAAATCATCTTCTAGTGATTGATAATCTGTATAAGTTACGTTACCGCCCCATTTTTCACTGCGTTTTATTACAAAACTAGGGGTATTCTCATTATGTGATCTGAGGGGAAATAAAACGAACTTTACAAAAGAAAGTACACCATTATCCGTCACGTTTCCTTCTTCGCAAAAGGCCTTTTTCAATTTGCGGGATACGGCAGCGGCATCATCCAAAAGATCAATCTTAGAATCTGGATCGGATGATGACATTTTGGATCCCGTCAACCCTGGAACCATCGGGTTCATAAGATGTGAACGCTTCTTATAGCCAAGGTGTGGTAAATATTTTTCTGCAAAGACAAATATCTTTCTTTGATCAACTCCTCCAAATTGTGCATCTACTCCCAAGTATTCTTCATCCAACGCTTGTAAGCCTGGATACAATAATCCAGATAATAATGCGGATTCAACTTGTTTAACTACTTCAGCACCAGCTTTTTTTGCATCGTGTTCTGTTACAGTGGCGCAAAGTCTGTAATTATCCATATTATACTTCTCCGTTAATTGATAACTGGATCCTATGACAAAATTTAATTTGTCGATCGGAACTCCGATTGATTCTAGAACAGTTTTTATAAGCACTTCGTAATATTTCGTTCGAAATTTTACAAGATCAAGTGGTGCTTTCATATTATCAAGAAATGCGTGAATATCAGCTAATAGAATTGTGACCTAAATGCCATTTATAATTAAAAAAAAAAAAAAAAAAATAAGAAAAGAACAACAGAACAATTGTAATAGAGTATTAAGTTCATTGTTTCTCTGTATAATAAACGCGATAAACGAAACTTGGACTTTGAGGAAAAAAAAAACGCACCTCAACACCGGCTGATAAAAAGTCGGCAATTTTGGACATGGGTACAAAATAACCAATATGAGGCTTTCCGGTAGGAGCAGTGCCCCAATAGAGCTTTAAATCTCTCTCCTTAAGAATATTCAATATTTCTTCCCGACCCAAAACTTCTTGAAGATTCCTTGAAATCAGTTCATATTTCTCTTCGGGGCTCTCATTATTTTTAGACATTTTGTAATATCTATATTATCGTTTCGTAATAAGCGACGTTTGAAGAGTGGATACTTATATATTCACATTTTTCTATGACACAGACCTTGCTTTGGATCTCGAAATTCCCGAGTCAACCAATTAAACATTGTTCCACAATTTACATAGCCCACCCATAGTAAATGTGAATGTTAATCGTTTCACATTTTGATTGGCCAAGTGATACGGAACAATGAATAAAATTAGTTCCGATCAGTTTTCATTTTAAATGCTTGTTTTCTACTTGACAAATTCCTTAATAGCTACGAATTCCTTTTGATTTTCAATTTAGTTTATAAGAAAGTTCCTTAATGGGGGCAACTGAAAGCAAACTCGTCTTTCGTAAAGGCGTGTTTAGGTTATTTGAAGAAAGGGCAAGTAACATCTATTCTAGTATCGGGAACTTGAGTATGTGTTCTTATTTTTATCTATTTGTCTCTTCAGAATATTCCAGCCAACGACGAGTATTGGTCGCAGGTAAAATGCTTTATTAAATTTTTGTTAATTATTAAAGTTTTGAGTATATATACTAAAATATAAATTACAAATTTATAGTATTGGCTTCTTCCTGAATCAGCAGACGATGTTTTCTCTCTTGTGGGCGCGCAGGATATTCGACGTGTGAGAGATCAAGCTAGAGAAAATTTACAGACATTGATAAATAAGGTTTGTCGCGTTTATGTAACTGAATAAATTGTTCAAATTATTCAATTAATGATTTACAACAAAAATTTAAGTTGAGCTGTTTTTAAAAAGAAAAAAAAATTAACAATTACTGGAAATTCAGGTCATTGACCGTTTACTTCGGATCATGAGAGCACCAGATTTCCCATCAACACAAAATTCAACCCTACAACTTTTGAATTGTATAAGGATCCTTACTCGGTTAATACCATTTATATTTGAATCTGAAGAAATGGGAGATTGGGAGGAAAAATTTTTTTGGACACCTCAACATAAGAAAGTTAAGAAGAATCATAAGACTGAAACGAGCGAAAATCTCCTACAAATGCGAAATGAAGCAACTAACGAGAGTCTGGCAAAAGAATCAAGCCAGGTAGAATTTCATTCAAATCTCTAATTGAAATATTTATATGGTAGTATAAACGTTTTAAGAATCATTAGTTCAAATTGGAGAGATTTTATATTGTTCCGATTCTGCAACGTAAAAAGCATTCTAATGCTTATGATATTCAACATCAAATACATTATGATGATATAGGTCACCTAGACTATCTAGACTTTATCGGTTCAAATGAACAATTCAATGAGAAACGCATCATAGTCAATTTATTAAAATTCCTTACCTTTTCGGAATATATTTAGGTATCACAAACACAAAATACAGATTTCGAAACTATTCCTCCTTTGGGTGAACGATTGTTATCGGTAATAATTGATCTCCTCTTTTTGGCGGGATTCACATTACCAGCAACTTTGGCAAAAGATAACGGTCGAATTATATATGTCAACTGGTAAAAAAAAAAAAAATTGTGTCTTATTAATCATCGTCTCATATGTTAAATATCTTATTTCATCTTTTATAAGGGAGACAGGTGTAGGTTCTACTATGCCCATTGGTTCATCGAAAGAAAATGATTACAATAAAACGGAAACTTTAAGATTATTGCTTGTATTAATCTCAAAGTCGATGTATATGTCAGGAGGTATTAATTTGAAAAATTACTTTGGGAATTAATTTATATGAAAGGAAGTTTAATGCTTATTTGATTAATTTAGCAACATATATAGGAAAAGAAAACAAATGGATCAAATATTTAGTGCTTAAAATCGATCGCAAGGTCATTCTTGCACTGCTTTGTAGTTTGCTTAATACTGCTGTCAAATATGATCCTACGGGATGGGGTGTACCATATAATCATGTTGTTTTCGCGGACTCACGTGAAATGCTCGTGACAATGTGTCTACAAGTGTTATTGGTTTTATTGGATTACCGCGCTCCTTCAAATCGGACCATAACAAATGATTCGATCTCTAGAGAACAGCAACGAACGGGTTCCGTGGAAACAGTCAAGAGGGAAAAGGAATCGATAACTCAATCACCTAATAATTTAACATCTAATGAAACTAATGAAACTGCTAGAGTAGCCAACAATACTCAAGATAATACACCATCTGCAGATGCTACTTCTAAAGTTACTTCGTCTACACCAAATACACCGAAGGGTCAAATACCTTCCCATGTCGATAATGCATTTCGATATTATGCTTCGAAATTGCATCGAGCTCAAGATTTTCAATTTCTCATGGATGGCATTTACCGTATTTTGAGTAATCCTATGCAGGTACCTTTCAAAAAAAAAAAAATAATAATAATGATACAATAATCACAAATTCTGAAACGGTATTCTAATAATTTTACAATGGCCTCATTGAATTTAGGCAAATAACACATATTTGCCAGGTTCAACAAAGCAAGTTCGATGTCATCAAGAAATGATGATGCTTTGTTGGAAGTTTATAGAAATTAACAAGGTAACATATTATATTATTGAAGATTATTTATATCAAAATTAACATTACATGCTTATCATTATCAGAGGTTTCGAAATTACTTGTTGGAGACTGATAAAGTATTGGATTTGCTTGTCGTCCTTTTATATTACTCGATTGAAAATAAACAAGATTCAGGTATGGTTTTATTAACTTTAATTCTTATTTAGACTTGCGATTATACTTGTTGATATTCATACATTTCTTATTCCTTAAAGCACAACTAGGATTAGTGCGTATGTGTGCATTTATTTTGCAGACATTGTCAGGTGATCGTGATTTTGGCGTGAAATTAAATAAACCGTTTGAAAATCACGGTTCTCTTCCTGCTAATGTCCGTATTCAAGCGTTTAATGGAACTTATGCGGATTATATGATTAGTGTAAGTGAATTTACAATATATTGTTATGATGCTTTATGGAAATTTTTTTTTTTTCTAACGTTATATCTAATTTCTATTTTAGTCAATATATGTTCTTATAGCAACTACGCGTGGGACGTTGCATTCACTATATCCTGCATATGTGTTAACAATTACTAACGTATCCCCCTACTTGAAGAATTTATCCGTAGTTTCATCTACAAAATTAGTCCATCTATTTTCACAGTTTACTTCACCCGGGTTTCTGTTAGCTGAAGAAGGAAATCATCGATTGGCCGAATATATGTTGGAAGCATTCAATAACATTATTCAATATCAATTTTCGGGTCCGTTCTCCTTTCTAAAATTTTTTAATTGTTATTTAAATCGCCTAATATATTTGATTTCATGTATTGATGTGTATTTATTTCTAGATAACCCACACCTTATTTATGCTATTTTACGGAGTCCTAAATGTTTCGAGGAATTGTCAGAATTTACTCTTGCAAAAGGTTTGATTGAAATAAAAAAGATTCAAGCCGCAAAAGAACAACGTAAAAAACAGGTACGGATTGCAGCTATGGAAAAAACATCTGAACAATCAGAAGTTAAGAATTCACAAGATGAACCATCACGGCCGTCGGTGTCAGATAATGAAAGTAATTTAAGTACTCAAAAAGATGAAGATCATGGAGATGTTAATGAGAAACCTGAATTGCAAGCATCTTCAAATATCGATACTAGCCAAGATTGTCAAATAGGTATATCTGATCAAGATTCAGTGCCATTATCTGAAAAAGCCCGTGGTAAATTACCTGAAGGCGTTACAGCAGAAAGTCGTCGAAAGAGTAATGATAGTATAAAAAGTAATAATATAGTACCGACATTTGCTGTTGGAAAATCAGGATTTGTTCCAACCGAAGATTGGGTTTGTATAATTTAATTTAACAATTTTTTTTTTCAATCGTAAAATTTTCAATTTATATTTAAAAATTTTTATCTGAAGGTCTCTTCATGGCATTCACATTTTCCTCTTGGAACAATTCTAATTTTGCTTGGAGAACTTGTTCCTAAAATTGAAGATATATGCGTATCACGATCCATCAATTCAGATCAGCCTGTTCTAGAATTTCTCCGAAAGGTAACAATGGTTGGAATTCTTCCACCACCACAACCTATTCTTATCCGTAAATTCCAATGGTCCGAAGCTAGTGTAGTTTGGTTTTCAAGTTTGTTATGGGGACAAATTTATTTAGCTTCTTCAAATTATCTTGGTATATTTAATGGCACACAAGTCAAACTGTTTTTTATTAAGCCTCCTATAAGAGAAGGGCGCCTGAAAAATGCTCTTGGAAATGCAGTTGGTGGAGTTCAAGGAGTTATCGATCGTCTTTCTACCGCCAATCCTGCCAATCCTACAAATCCTGCCAATCCTACCAATCCTACCAATCCTACATCTACTACTATTAGTTCCTAATTATATAATTGTATAAAAAAATAATATATGTAATTCTTTTATGGAATTAAATTGAATCTTTGGTCAATAAAAAAATAATTTTTGCGATTCATTCTAGGGAGTTTCTTGCAAATGACTTTGGTTCCGAGTATTTTTTTCTTATATTTTTTATAAATTATTTTTAAAAATTTTCTTTCGTTCGTAAATAAATTCTAAGTCATGTGTCCACTAATTTATCATTGGTCGAAATTATGCAATTAATCTAAATAACTTTTTTTTTAAAAAATTTTCACTTTTTTTTTTTATAACAACTAAACATGGGTATCGAAACCGAAACCTCTCGAAACTCTTTAGGTTTTGGTATATAACGAAACCTAATTTTGGAAATGCATTTATTTTTCCGAAACCCAAAACCCGAAACCCAATTTCGAAACTTATAAACTGAAATATGCTAAAACTTATTTTATTGTTTTATAAATTTATTATATTATTACTAATATA